TTACGGAAAATTAATTAACACACGGAGACGTAACAATACGTTTATAAAAAGAAACTGATCATGTTGTTTTTTAAAATTATAGAATAAAATGAAAAATTGCAGAATAACTCTGTAGAATGTTCTGAGGTCAACATTCAAAATCTCGGTACGCTACCCGTTAGTGTAACAAAACCAAATGTCTTACAAAAACATGTTTGCAAACTAAAAATGGAAGTCTTGCTACCATTGTTGCATACCAAATTATATGTAACATCTTCCACCATACATACATTGGTGAAATCCATAGAACCCCATATACAAGAATAGCAAAGCACTTTGAATGTGAAAAATATAATTTCAAATTCTAGAAATTTGAAGGAAAGTTAAGAGTGAGTGATAAAACAAAAGAAGTAAAACATAATCGCTTAAAATCTAACAATTCATCAAAATAAAACAATCAAAATACATCTGAATAATTTTGCTAACAAATAAAAGGGCAAGGTATAGTCTAATAGCGTGCAGAACTACGTATTTAAAGGTGCAAAGTTTAAAAAGTGATGACACTTGTCATTCTCCGCACATTTGGCTGTGGGCGCGTTGTAAATGTGATGGTTAATCCCATCTTTTTTCACTTGAAGAGTTGGTTAAATTCCTTATGGTAGCAGTTACTGCTTTGTTGCTCTCCCTCTAATCAGTATATTAATATTATAGACGGCTATACCCAAACACTAGAGATCTTTTTCCTGGCTGTTTAGCCCACATGTGTATAAGGTGCCACTCATGTCGAAAATCTCGATTCCAATCGTTCCCAGTGGGTCGCAGAAAGTTTGCGGACTTACGAAGCTAAAATCGTGGATTTGAATTATCTGCGTGAACAGTGTGTTAATAGACCATTGTAAATCTTTGTGCCAAAAACAAAAGAAAATCCAACAAGCAACAGAGATTGGGGTTACAAAAAGTTCATTTGTTAAACTTCACTGATTCCCCTTTAACAACAAATTCGCACAAAATCAAAAACAATTATCATGACTGTATTGTATTCGCAAATATAAATATAATTTTACAAATACAAAGATTTTTCGAGTCAAAACAATGTGAATTTAAATCCAATTCGAACATGTTATTTTAGACAGCTGTTTTATTGTAACATGAACAACCAGAAGAGGGCAATATTTCTCATTCCAGAATCATAACAATGGCTGACAGTTTAGAACCACCTCTATTTAATGGAAGTGCATGTCAAAAAGATGATGAAAGCGAAGATTTTTTTTCACCAGCTTTAGAAGTAAGTGATGATAGATACCATTACGATGTGTTCGAAAATAAGTCAAAATTAAAATAGGGCCAGACAAGTAAATTTCATTTACAAATAGATAAATCTAACTCTAACTTCTTAGTCTTCAGTTGAAGTAAAAGTCTAACTCTTAAGTCTAAGCGAGAGAAATTTAATTTTTAAAGATTTTTACTATTTCAGTTCTGTAAAAGTGTGACTTTCATAGAACTTAAAATTTAAATACCATTTTCCGCTCTTGAGATATCTCAAATTTCATGGTCAAGTAATCAGCATTTTTTTTTTTTTGGCTAATTTTCTTATGAAAAAGGTTAGTAATTTCTGTTATCAGACGAAAGAAAATAGAATTAAGAAACGAGCTAAATATAAAAAATAATAACAAACTTAGAATATGTGTAAAAATCATTAGTTTTAGATATGTTACCATCAGTTGATCAAATAAAAAGTTTTGGAATGTGACAACGTTTACTTTCAATCAGGTAATGAGGTCGTTGAAACCTGGTCAAAAGGTCAGTGATCTTTGGCAAAAAGCAAAACATAAAATAAAAGTATTCAATTGCTATAAGATCTTGATAAGATAGAACACATATACACTCATTGGTCTTGGGTTCATTTAGAATTTTTGAAAGGTCATTCTTAGAAGGACCAGGATAGGAGGCAAAGCTGGATTTTAGCAATTTTGCTCTCCCAAAAAAATCAGAAAAATTGGTCTGATTTTACAAGTTATCATGTGTTTTTCATAATAAAACAGATGGAATAAAAGAAAGCAAAAGCTTCTAAGGGTGAAATAATTGAAGAAAATAATGATGAAATTATTCTACTTGTTAATGTAGTCTTGAAATTGAATAATAAGCAATATTGCTTAAGAATGAACAGAAAACTGACTGACTAACATAGAATCTGTTAGTGCCAGTGGGTAACTGCACCTGTAACAATATAAAAAGTTACTCTTATTCATGCTGATTTTTATTCATTTATAAACAGAAATTATTTACAGGTAATCTAAAAATGTGGTAAAAGGTTCATTGTTTATATTTTTATTGTCCCAAAAGTTAGTATGTATTAATATCCAGAAAAACAAACTAACCTATATTTGAGTTTCTTACAGTACCATGAAGTAGTTGTCATTATATTAACAAGAGAACTATTGGTCCATCTATGCTGTCCCATTCACTAAAATAAACTAAAACTATTAAAAGAAAAACAACCCTCAAAGCCAGCACTTATAATCCATATGTTTATCAAGCCTTCCCTTAAACTCAGGTAACTTTGCTGCCTCTACCACATCTGAATGCAACCCATTCTAAAAGCCAATTAACCTGTTAGAAAAATAAAACTTTTTAGCTGAAAATGATACTACCTTGCCAAAATTTAAATCTGTGCCTGCCTAGTCCTACCATTCTCACCCTTAACCCGATGACTACCAGCTACTAACTTTCTTGGTCATTCCTTAGAATCATAACAAACATATGATTGTGAATTTAAATCCAATTCGAACATGTTATTTTAGACAGCTGTTTTATTGTAACATGAACAACCAGAAGAGGGCAATATTTCAACATTTATGACAGATACCATTACGATGTGTTCGAAAATAAGTCAAAATTAAAATAGGGCCAGACAAGTAAATTTCATTTACAAATAGATAAATCTAACTCTAACTTCTTAGTCTTCAGTTGAAATCATACTACTTCTGTTATCCCTGTATTATTGGGATGAATGTATTTAGCCTGTTTCACAACCAACATATGGGTTTTATTGTTGTCACTACATAAGCTCTTCAATGTATTGAGACCCCAACTGTGAGAATGTCATAGTTTCCCTCTATTATTGGGATGAATGTATTTAGCCTGTTTCACAACCAACATATGGGTTTTATTGTTGTCACTACTGAGTTTGAACCATTTGCAAAATATCAGAATAAACTATACATATATATCAGACTGTTTTAATTCTAACGCAATAACAACAGAAGTGTGGATCTTACTACAAAGCAAAGATTGTAAGAAGGAAAATATAAAATTCTTTTGTGGTACTGGTACTGGTACTAGTAGTATAACATACAAATCACACAAGTTTATCATTCTAAATACTGAATCATATTATTATTATGAACTAAATATAAAATTATGCTAAATTATTGAGCTTAAAACTACAAATTTGACTTCAAAAGAATATAAAAAATCACAAAATCTTTCAGTTCAAAGTCCTAAGTCTAATTCATGTAAAGACTTTGCACTCGCCACTCGGTAACTCTTAACCCTAACAGTCGTGGATAAATGTGGCCTAACCAGTGACCTATACAATGAAATTATAATCTCTTTAATCTTGTATTTGTTATTTCTGTAGATACAACCTAAAATCTTATTCAACCTACCACTAGCAACAGCACATTGCTTGGATAGCATAAGAGATTGATCAACCATACACCAAGATCCTTTTCTTCTATAATACTGTTAGGTTATTTCCATCCAAATTATACTTTTAATTCAAATTATGATAACCCACATGCATTATCTTGCATATATTGTCATTAAAACCCATCTGCAATTATTTGCCCAACTCATTAAAAGATATAAATCATTTTGTAGATCAGCAGCATCCTCACAGCCAGCAACACCCAAGACCTTAATATCATTAAAAAATTTAAGTCATTTATTGACCATTACTTCACCTTTGTCATTGATGTAAATCAAAAAGAGCAAAGATTTTAAGACTGAGCTCTAAGATACCCCACTTGTGACATTAATCCAGTTTGACTGAACTCCATTTATAACAACCTTCTGCTTTCTTCCATCTATCCACTTTTCTATCCAATTAGCCAACTTATCTCACACACTTATAGAGAGTATTTTTTACAAGTCATCTTGTCAAATGCTTTCTGAGAATCCAGATACATCCTTACTCTCATCTACACAAGCAGTAACATTTTCAAAGAATATCAAAAGATTTGTAAGCCAAGATTTTCCCTTACTGAAACCATGTTGATTATCGAATAAAATTCTAAAATTTGTTAGATGACTTTGAAAGGCATCTTTTATCAGACTTTCAAAACTTTCCCAACAACTGATGTAAGACTATAGGCCTATAATTACTAGGACAATTTTTATCACCTACCCTGAAAAGAGGAGTGACATTAACCAACTTCCAATATTCTGGCACCTGTCCTCTGTTCAAGGACTTACAAAAAATAGTAGCAAATAGCTCACATATCCACTCCTTAACCTTTTTCAAAACCTTTAGGGAAATATTATCTGCCCAGGAACCTTATTATACTTTAAACTTCACAATTTGTTCTTAACAAGCTCATAATTAATGTGATCATCTTGTTCAATCTTTTTTTAAATCTATCAACTGTTTAGGATGAAGAATATTGCTTAAATCTTCATTAATAAAAACTGAAGAAAAAGCATAATTCAATAACCCAGCCATCTCATAATCATCATTTGTGAGCCTTCTTTTATCATCCCTCAAAGGCCCTACTCCCATCCTAACATTTTGTTTACCTATAATGTATTTAAAGACATCCTTATTGTTAATTTTATATTTTCTGCCAACCTTCTTGATGTCCTAATTTCCTGTTTGACCAACTCTCTTGATATTCTATAATCTTCTGAGTGTTCCACCATACCACTCAATTTATATTTGTGATGATTTTCTTCAGTTTTATTCTTATACCCTTTGTGAACTAACCTTGTTTTTTACTTGCAGCCACTCTTAGCTTTCTATAAAGAACATGTTTATCTTAGATATTTAAAATTTATTTTAAATAATTTTCCACATTTGATCAGTCTCTAAATAATTCAGCTGTCCAATTCACAACAGATAATTCTTGTTTCATGCCTTCAAAATTTGCTTTTTTGAATTTTGTAACCAAAATACAAATATCTGGAGCAAAACATATGCAGCAAAACTTCAAACCTAATAGAGAAATAACACTTGCACCCAGATGTTTCTCAATTTCTACCCTCTCAACCATTTCTGTGTTAGAAGTTAACAATAAATCTAAAATAGCATTGTTCCTTTATCAGTTGGTGAAGAAAACCATTTGAACAGTTTCCAAAAGTATTTCTCCCTCATGGTGACTCTTAACATTTCCCAATCTATATGACTGAACTTAATATTACCCATACTTATGACCTCATTAACAGCTGAAATCTTAATCTCCTTGTAAAGTTTCTCATCAGTTTCATCTGTTGGTTTGTAACAATTTCCTACAAAAAGCCTTTCCCTTTATATCTGAAAATAGAAACCCAAATGGATTCAATCTCCTTGCTTTTATCTTTGATATCCTCAACTTTAACAGAATTTAACTCGCACTTCACAAATAAAGCCACTCACCCCCTCTCTTTAATACTCTATCCCTGTTAAATACCTATAATCCTGTATTTCAAAGAAATTCCTGTAATTAAAATTGTCTACATTTAACCATGTTTCAGTTATTCCTATTATAATAAAATCATTCATTTCTACCAGTGCCCTACAATCACTTATTTTATTTCTTGTACTTCTAGCATTACAATAATAACACTTAAGCCTACCCTTAGAACTAGTTCTATACTTTGTTCTTATGCTAAACTATATTCTATACCTTATTCTTTCTGCATTTAGTTTATCCTGGCCCTCACCACTTTTTAGTCCTAGTTTAAAACTTCCCTTACAGCTGAGTTAATAGCCCTTGCAAACACAACAGCCCCTACCCTATTTAAATGTAAACCATCCATTCAAAACAGTTCCCTTCTCCCATTGAACTGATCTCACAAGCCCAAGCAGCCTAACATATAATTGGCTTTGTGACATACTTATAACAGTGACCTACTGTTTTAGTTGAGCAGGAGAACCCTTGATTTCCTAAAAAGAAACCACTGGGAGATCCATATCAATCAGTGTAATCCCACTTGTATGAGACTAAGTGAATACACCCTGTTGGTGGAAGTAGGGTAGAGGTGTCAACCTGGAAGAATAGTAAAGGTAGTGCCCAGTACTAAGAACCA